CCTGCTCTGGGAGAACCAGTGGCACTGGCCTGCAGATTAGCTCCACGGCAGGCAGGGCCTTGGGGAGCAGGTTTGTCTGCCACAACTGAGGAGCCTTTGTGTTTTGTTGCTGAGCTCGGGCTTTTGCAGGTCTGTGACGTCTCCAGGGGCCAACCTAACACCTACCATGCTGGCTCAGCACTTCTGGGAAGCTGGGCAGCCCTAACTGCTCACCCTGGGCTATAGTGGGGAAACTGAGGCACTTGAGCACAAACCCCAGGGCCTTGATCCCAGGATCCAAAACTCACTGGGTGGTCAGGCAGTGCTTGAGGTCAGGAAACAAGGACTCGTTTTTTGGTATTCTGGGCTGCAAAAACGCTCTGCTGAGAGCACAAATCCCCAAGGATGCCCCTGCCTTCCCTCCCTACCTTTCTGGCTCTTTCTGTTCTGCACATAGACGCCTCCTTGGTGCCCCCTACCTGGGATCCTCAGATTCCTTGTTTCCAACCCATCAGTTGACCACCAGTCACTCAGCTGCAGGGTGGCCTACAGGTGCAATGGCCATTGTATTGTAACCGGTGTTTGTGTCATCTCTCACAAGGGACGATGGAGACACTGAGGTTGCATTCTGGGAAGGACGCCACCCAGAATGAGGCCTCAGGGAGTTACATTGAGCCAGAGTTTGTTTTTGTGGCAGGGTGGGAAGAACACTGGGTGGGTGCTACTTATTCTGTGTCCCTGGGCAAGTGGCCCAACCCTTCTGGACGTTGTAGATGATGGATTGCATGGTCCATTGAGCTCCAACATGCTACCACTTTAGTGGTCCCAGTTCCCACATCCAGGCCAGACTTTGCAAAAAGGAACCTGCAGGGAAGGAGAGGATGCGTTCTGTGAACCAGCCCTAACCGCCTGGGGAACCAGAGTTATCAGGGAACTCACCACGCGCTGGCATGACATGGGCAACTTAACCCAAAACCAAGCTCACCCCTTTCTGCTCCTGCAGGGGCTTAAAATCTATTGGGAGATGGGAGACATACTGGCCATGTCTGCCAGGAAGCATAAAATAAAGGACTGTAGCTTAATGCTGTATGCTGTGTTGGGGTAGGCATAGAGGTGTCAGCTGAGTAGGAAGGACTGGGAGTCACAAGGGTGTCCTGGAAGAGGGGACTCGTAGTACCCAGAGCAGTGCCTGGTGTGGGATGGGTGCTCAACAGAGTGTTTGAATGAAGTTCCAGGAGGGGCCCCAGCAGTTCCAGGCCTACTGCTTCACAGATGAAAGATGGTGGCAGTGGTGACAATGATGGTGACACCTAACATTTATTGAGCATTTGTGCTAAGGGCTGCTTTCTAAGATTCCCATGCCTTCACTCCTTTAATCCTGTGACAGCTTCATAGGACAGGTATTAACTATTACTGTACAATCCCGTTTTGCAGATGTGCAACCTCAGTGCAAACTGAGCCTCAGAGAGGTTAAGTCATTTGGCCAAGGATAGACGGCAGGTGGAACGCAAACCCACACTGCCTTAGGGCCAGTGATGGAACAGGCCTTCAGGGGGCGGGAGTCACTAGTGTCAGGGCTAGAATATTGGTGGAGAAGCTTGACCAGGTGGGGAGGGGGCTGCACTGTCCCGCAGCTCCCACCCCTGCAGCAGGCTCCTCTCAATCCTGGATCCCTTCCCCCATGAGGCACTTGCTCTGCCTTCTCAGGGGTGAGACCTGCTCCCCCACTGACTCAGGCATTCTGACCCTGCCTGTCAGAGTCTCCTAGGGGTCTGCCCAATCTAAAGAACAAGGAACATCCTTCCCCACCCTGCATCCTTGGACCAAGACAGGCAGCTACAAGCCAGAAGCTTGGGTTCCAGGTCCCTTCCTGGGGTAGGGTAGGGGAGGTGAGGAGGGGGAGTCTTTGCCAATCTTCTAGCCCCACCCAACTCCAGAACTCTGGAATCCCCACCCAGTGACCCTAAACTCCCTTATGCCCACCCAGGGCCACCTCTTTTGGCCCTGCTAACGGTCAGTGATGACTTGAGACAAAGACCAAAAGTGAATCTTAGATTTCTTCCCTGCCCCACCCCACCCTGCCCATCACTGAGCAAAAAGGACAAGGGCCAGCACCTACTCTATGCCCAGGGAGAGGGAACAGCAGGAAATTTCTTCACTTTCCACCCTGAAATTGCTTGTGGGAGAGGCAGAGGGGAAAGAAGACAGCAGCCTCCTCCCCAAAATAGATGGGGGGAGGGATGCCCACTGCCTGGAGAGGGATGGGTGGATGCAAGGGGGCCTCTGGGGTGCCCGGGCCCCTTGCAGCATCCTCCCCACCCCACACCCAGGCCACTATCACGGATCTCACCTCCTGGCATTGACACAGCTCTGATGGGTGAGGTCACCACTGAAGACTCACAGACGAATGTCAGCCTGTGCACCAGGGACTACACCCTACCTGTCCCCACACCTGCAGGAGAGGGAGAGGAGTGGGGGCTCAGGGCTTGGTGGACCGTGTCCTCTGCAGGCCCACTGTGCCTGAGACCAACCCACAATGGCTTCTGGTGCCTACTCTCCTTCCCCCCTCCCAGCTGTGGCCCAAGCCCTCCCAACTGGCTTTTCCTGTTCCTAGCTTTGTGTGGCGCAAGTTCTCCAATTATGCCCACATTATCTCAGCCACTGGGCAGCCTCCAGCAGGCTGGGGGAAGGGCAGGGAGTACCCAATTATGCTGCTGGGGAGAGCCTGGGGCCTAGCTGCTTGCCAACTAGCCAGTCAGCAAGAGTGCAGGCCGTCTGGCCCACTGACCTCACCATGGGACTGCTCCTGGGGTGGGGCCATAGCTGGGTCGGGCTGCCATCAGACAGTTGGGATGGAAGGGACCATTGGTCAGGGAGTCCAGCCTGCTCCTTTACAGAAGAGGGAAATAGGGCCCAGCAGGAGGAAATAACTGACCAGGCCCCACAGCCACCTGAAGGCAGAGGCAGATGAGAGCCCACCCTCCTGTCCATCTAGGCACTTCTCCCACTGTGCTCCTGCCACCCCACAGCACCTCTGCCCAGAGCACCCCACAGACTGGCCGAGGGACAGCTAGAGGGGTACAGTTGGAGATAGCCCTAATGGACATGGAAGGGCTATAAAGAAGGGGAATGTCAAGGTAGTGACACTACCTGGCTTGGTGGGGCCAAAGATTGATTTATTTATCAAGCATTTCTTGAGTACCTACTGTGTGCTAAACAGGGGCACTACCTTGCAGGTGATCTAGAGAGACCTGGGAGGAGTAGGGAGCAGCTCATTTAACTGACCATGGGCTTTGGAGCCCTCAGGGGGACCTGGACAGCTCCTGCGTCTCCATTATGTAGAGGAGGCTCCTGCTGTTGGATCCCAGGCCCCCTTGGGAGGCTATTTAGGCCATTCCCCGCCCCCTGCATTGAGCCAGTCTGGGCATCATTGGTGTTACTGATAGTGCTCAATAAATTGAGGGAAGTAAAGATGCAAGGACACAGCTTGTGGGGAGTTTTCAGGGCTCAGGAGAGAGCTGGAGGGCAAAGCATAGTGACGGGGAGGGCTACACCAAGGTAAGGGAGCCAAGCCCAGTTCAGGGGTAAGAAAGCTCAAACAGAAGGGAGACCACCAGTCACTGCCTCCTTGCAAATCTCAACTCTCCAGGCTTCCACTGCAGTTTGTCTGGCAACAGATATTTACTAGCACCTACTATGTGCCAGATGCTGGGCACTGGGGAGTCCGAGATGGAAGAGACACTGACCCACCCCTGGAGGAGTTCAGAGTCTGGTGGAGGTCAGATGTAAACCAGCACATTCCAAGGCAGGAAAGAACTGTGCTGGAGGTAGCTGAGTTGTCAGCTCTGGCTGGGAGGCAAGGAAGCTCCCCAAGGAGATGTCCTGGCTGGGCTGACCACAGGTGGAGAAAGCGAAGAAGGGCCATCTAGGTCGAGGGACCTGCCTGGGCAGGAGTCTGGAATGTTGCACGGATAGGCTCTGTGCCTGTGGAGACTGGGACGGAGTTGCTCATTGACCTAAATGCTGATAATAGATTCTGTAATATCGTCACTCAGCAAATCATGGCTGAGTAAACGGGAGGAGGGAGGGAAGGAAACACGGACACGTGGCATGTTCTGAGGACAGGCCTACCTGGTACAGTTGGAAAGCATGGCTGTTGGAGAGATGAAGACAAAAGACAAGGATGTTGAACGCCATGTTAGGGTATCTGACTTGATCGTGAAGGCTACAGGAGCCAGCAGAGGCTGGAGGCTGGAGGCTGGCCGTGTGCAGTGCCTGCTTCCCTTTGCCTGGGTGAATAGGAGGGCCTGAGCCAGCACACCCCAGGGGACGGACACCTGGCTATGAGGGAGCAGACAGCAGGGGTAACCATAATGCTGGCCATCATGGGCCATCATGGGCCATCACGGGCCATCACGCTCACCCAGAGCTTCCTGCCTCCTGACGCACTTTCTCGTTCATTATGCCATTTGGTTCCCCTGGCAACCCTGTGAGGTAGAGAGGACTGGATTATCCACCCCATTTATCAGATGAGGGAACTGAAGCCCAGGAAGGTGAAGCAGCTCATGGCTCCTAAGTGGGGACTCTACTTGGAAAGCAATACATTTGACCCTCATCAAAAATGGGGGTGAGGACATCATATTTACTAACACAGAGCAATATTGATGATATGTCACTAAGGGGAAAAGCAGCTTACGAAGCAATGTCTGATCTTGTAAGCAAAATAGATGGGTATGTGGATATACGTAGATATAGAGAAGAAAGTGAAAGAAGATAGATCCTCAAAGATTATCCTTCAAGATCCTTCGAGATTATCCTGAGTGGCATAGGATGTTGACATTTTCTTCACTATATTTTTCAGTATTGCCCAGTGTTCTTATAACAAGTAATTAACATTTTTGTAATCAGAATAAAAAGAATAATGACTGCTATAAAAGGGAAGCCCACTGCACAGGGGATTGTGTGGGTGGGTGAGGGGAGCCGTGCCCACCACTGACCACTTCCTGCTGTCTCCCCCGTAGGCGCCCACACCCAGGTGGTCCAGGTGAATGACTCTATGTACGGCTTCATCGGCACAGATGTGGTGCTGCACTGCAACTTTGCCAACCCACTGCCCAGTGTGAAGATCACCCAGGTCACATGGCAGAAGGCCACCAATGGCTCCAAGCAGAACGTGGCCATCTACAACCCAGCCATGGGCGTCTCCGTGCTGGTTCCCTACCGCGAGCGCGTGGAGTTCCTACGGCCCTCCTTCACCGATGGCACCATCCGCCTCTCCCGCCTGGAGCTGGAGGATGAGGGTGTCTACATCTGCGAGTTTGCCACCTTCCCCACGGGCAACCGTGAGAGCCAGCTCAATCTCACTGTGATGGGTAAGCTGGCCACAGGCCCCGTCCCCACCTGTCTGGACCTGGGGGTTTGGCCATCCTTGGTGTGTCTCAGTGGCCCCAGATACCCTCCCTGGGTGACCATGCTCCTACACTTCGGGCATGGTACTCCCAGACCCTTCTGGCCAGGCTGCCCCACAATTCACTGGGGATAAGAGGTGGGGGCCTTAGCCCTAGATAGAGAGAAGGGTCAATATTCAGGTTGGAACTCTACCATGGCACTTTGTGGATGGTCAGGAAATAGGCAGAAATATCAGTCGCCATGGTAAGGAAAGGAGCCACTAAGCTGCTTGGCTGGAATATGCCAAGACTCCGAGAAGGCCTAAGCTTGATGGAAGGGATCTCACTACAAAGCAGGGAGGACATATATTAGACAGGCAGAAATTCCTGTAAGAAGTTCTGGGAGGGGTGTTAGGAACAGCGGAGAGGCAGGGTGGCCAAGGTGATCTGACCACATGGCCTAGTGGGTGTCAACACCACGCCCTCCTGGGCCTGCCCATCGACAGAGCTGGTCCCATGGCTCTCTCTGGTTCCCTGCAGCCAAACCCACCAACTGGGTAGAGGGCACCCAGGCAGTGCTTCGAGCCAAGAGAGGGCAGGGTGATAAGGTCCTGGTGGCCACCTGCACCTCGGCCAATGGAAAGCCTCCCAGTGTGGTGTCCTGGGAAACACGGCTGAAGGGCGAGGCGGAATACCAGGAGATCAGGAACCCCAATGGCACAGTGACAGTCATCAGCCGTTACCGCCTGGTGCCCAGCAGGGAGGCCCACCAGCAGTCCCTGGCCTGCATCGTCAACTACCACACGGACCGCTTCAAGGAGAGCCTCACTCTCAACGTGCAGTGTGAGCTGGGGTGGGGGTCGGGTCCTTCTGGGGTGG